ACTGGTTCAAAAAATCGACTCTCTTTTTTGCCAAAATCCCCTTTGAAATATATTCAGAACAGTGACAATAGACGCCTGTCAAAAGCGCGCAGCCCTTAATATTAAGATTTAGAGGTCGCTCATCGGGAATTTCTATTTCTCATATACATATCGTTGATGAAATGTAGAAAGGCCGTAACTGATATTTTTTTCGAAATTTACTTATACTAAAGCCCATCTTCACTAAAAAATTTAGAACCGTAACTCAAAAAATAGCGAACTTTTAAAAAGCCCTAACTCAAGTATTTTTACACAAAAAAATTTAAAAATGGAAATGGAACTTCAAAGAAGGTTGTATAAGTTCGTAATTTTATGTGAAAACTATCAAACTATAAAATCCAATAAATAGTGCAAAAATGGAGCAGCGGCATGCCACAAATACAAAAACTAGGATGAATGGAAAGTAGTAGGGATGGCAAAAAAACAAATTAAATAATCGATTAATCAATCATATGATTAATCACAAGCCAAAAAAAAATTAATTGCAGTTATTGAGAAATAATCGATTAATCGAATTTTTAAAGAATTACCACCCGTTGAACAATTAAATTCAAATTATTCAAAAATCAATGCCATCATATCCGCGCCGTTCGTTCGATTTTCCAAAATGAGGTGTCAAATTAATGGGCTTGGGCTGTATGTGCAATAACGTTTTACTTTTTCGAAAAGAGTTGCCACCTTTTCAAAAATTATATTCAAATTATTAAAGAAAAAACAAATCAATTATTACAAAATGGGTATCAACCGAAATGATTTTGAAAAGCTTTGTTTCTTAGCTGAACTATAGGAGGGTTGCCACCTGTTTAAGTAATCATATTAGGTAAGAAAAGTATGTATCACATATGGGTACCCAAATGAAAGGGGTTTCAGAAAGTAGAAGTTTGTAAATAGTTTGAACGCTAAGAATATTTTTTAGGTGTTTAAAGAGGGTTGCCACCTGTTTAAGTAATCATATTAGGTAAGAAAAGTATGTATCACATATGGGTACCCAAATGAAAGGGGTTTCAGAAAGTAGAAGTTTGAAAATATTTTGAAGAGGGTTACCACCTGCTTGAAATGTCGAATTTAGTTTACTTATACACAAGTTATATGGAACATCAAAATATGGACGTGAAACGAAGGAGTGTTAAGAAATCTTTAGTTTGAACGCTAAGAATATTTTTTAGGTGTTGAAAGAGGGTTGCTACCTGTTTAAAAAGTTAAAATCAAACTATCTAAGCTTAATGAATTATGAATTATGAAAGTATGGGTATCAGTCGAAGGGGGGTTGAAAAACTTTTATTTCTGAACTGTACTTAGCGGGGTTGCCACATGTTTAAAAAATCGAATTAAACTTAATTCATCAGTTAATTAAAATATGTGTCACAATGTCAGACGAATGTTTTTCAGGAAGGTTTTAGCTTGAAACTGCTTTTGTAGAGGGTTTACACCTGTTTAAAAAGTTGCATTAAAATTATTTAGTAAGTTAGATGAATTACTAAAAGATGGATATCAATTTAAATGGGTTTGAAAAGCTCTATTTCTCTTAATTGAAATAGGTATCACAATGTTAGATTTGAAAATAATTTAGTTTGTAAACGTTTTTGATATAGTCGAATATGGTTAACTTTTACGCAAGTTTTGTGAAATATTAAAATATGAGTGTCAATCGAAAGATATTTATTAAAACTTTAGTATCAAATTGTCTTTGATTAAGCTTGCCACCTTTTCGAAAAGTCGTACCGATCTCACTAAGTATAAACATATATTATACGAAAAGGAATTTCTTGTGAAGGTCATTAAATTTGCACCGTCCTTCTGAATTTCAAATATGAGAGGTGGAGTAAGGCCCTTGGCCTGTTTGTTTGAAGTTAGATCTTTTTTATCGGTACAGAGTTATTTGAAACTTGATGACATTAAAAACCGACACAATGCGAGACCTCTCTTAACCCAGAAAAGGCTGCATGGATTTAGATGAAATATGACACTTAAATCGCTTAAAAATCTGACCACAATTTAGAGTAGTTATATATATAGATATTTGAAAATTCCAACGGTAAAACATTGTCATCCATACCGTGCGAACAACAATTATGGGCTTTAATACCACTGGGAATTTGTAAGATCAACTTCTCCACAAGATTTTTAATTATTCAAAACAGAATGATAACGTGTTGAAACTTAAATAAACCAAACTTCACAAATAGGAGGAAATAATACAAATTTTACTATTAGTTAGAAGTTTCAAGCATTTCTGAAATTGACCGTTATATGAAAAGTGGCCGTAATTTTAGTTCGATTTCAATAATTTTCAACGCTTTGCCTTTATGTGGCAAGCACAATAACCATACCGATTTTGGTACAAATTGATAGAACGGTTACCGAGATTTTTCATGCTCAGTTTTTGTTGCATTTTATAAGCACATATTTCTTATTTTTTAGTGCATGAAAATCCATGCCCTAGTTACGTCTTTTTGCATTTCAGGTGACGATATGTATGTATTGCAAAGAGGATTTTGACTTTGAGTCGATTTTTTTTTTAACCAGTCTAGTATACATATGTATGTAAATATATTTATCCTTACATTTGAAATATGTATGTATGTATAATAAACATTGTACTAACTATATGTATACTTCTTTTATTGTATTGCCACAGTTGCGTATGAGAGAGTTTCAACCCGAAAAAGTGACAGCGCGAATATCGCAGCATAGTTGGCATTGATGCATACTTAGTTAATGTATGTATGTATATGTGTGTGTTATACGGCTGAGATTTCAACTACCTCATCCTTCCATTTTCGGGTAAAGCAACTTCGCCACAAGGAAAAAGCAAAAGTGCAATATGCATGCATATACATATATTTAGTTGTGTACGTAATAACTAAATAAAACAAGTAAAGAAGTATAAGTTCGGGCGAAATCGAACAGTCTTATTATTTGTTAAAATATTGTTGTAAGTATTAGCTTGGCGTAAATGAACGTCCTCAATTATTGAAATATCGGTGTTTTGGTATATCCGAAAATTACCGTTATGCGCGAAGCCGGTGTAATTTTAGTCCGATTTGAATATTTTTCAACGAATTGCTTTTTCGTACCGAGTTTATTAAATGCGCCGAGTTTGGTAGAAATTGATAAATCGGTTACCGAAATACTCATTTTTGGATAAGTGGGCGGAGCCACGCCCAAAATCCAAAAGTTTATAATAATCTAATTTTCTGCGCAGTGGTTATTGCAATAATCGATTTTGAGTCGATTAGCTTCTGTAGTTACTGATTTATTGCAGTTTTCGTGTTTCTGTAAATTACCGTTATATGGGAGGTGGGCGTGGCTATTGCCCGATTTCAAAGGCTTTAAACACGAATGATAGAGATTGTATCTGTGATTTGTGGTTTGCTATTGCATTGTTTTCAACCTGTACTGCCCATCTCATCGGTTGCTTCATTTCACTCGATATGGCTGTTTTGAATCCCAAAAAAAGTCGTTGGTATGTCAGCGCGAATTTCAAGGCTGCTTGGTTATTGACGCTCAAAGTGGCATGTTTGGCTGAAAATGTGCTATTTAGCAGAAAAACAAGTGGCTTCTATTCTGACAGAGGCGACTGACCCGTATTTCCTCTGTATAGAAGCCGAAAAAAGAGCATGCTTCGGTTTGCTGGGGCTTAAATCATTACAATTTTTAATCAAGTCCAGGTATTCTCAACAAGATATTTGACGACAACGACCCAAGTAAGTGTTGAGAAAACTCCCCCTTGTGCAGTACAACGACCACCTTAACCTAACCGTTGGTTTTGACAGTTTGTACAGCTTTCTGGTCACTCGACGCTTGGCTCAGTCCACCGTAGGACGCAACGTAAATTGCCCTTTGAAGTATGTAGCTCGCGCATCGCTCCGGCTTCGAAGAGGCTCGGTCGCCTAATGAAACTTGCACTTTATCAACGCCGGACTGGACAGTGACCTCACAGTTAACCAAAGCTTGTTCCCACCTGAGACGAAATTGCAACTTATCAGAGAGTTCGTTTTTGTTGTTGTTGTAGCGGCACTACTTAGCCCCGTCTATTTCGGTTCATCCTTCAATCATTGTCGTCAAGCTTAACTAACGGTAGGCCCAGGAAACGGGCTGTTTCAATAGGGTCGGACCAAAGGGAGTCCGTCACCACCTTCAGTGTCGCCCCACCATGAATGCCGTTATAGAAACCCAATCGCCCGCCCGCTTTACTCTGACCTAGTTAAGGTCTGGGCTCGAATCGTAACAGTCGTAAACGAGCAACTCCTCACGTAAAAACTAATATTTCGGATTATAACAGTCGTGAACGAACTGATCATCTCTTATACCGAATTCAGTGAAGTTGGCTAAAGTGAAGTAACTGTCCATCGTGCGCGTCCGTACTAGTCAATTTTTCAGGTTTTGCTAGATTTACGGCAATCTTTTGGTAGGTTTCGGTCGGAAAGTTATCGAACTGTTTCTTTTTCTGTTTCCCATTACATAACTTTGCCGCGGCGGCAGAAAACACAACGTTCTTAATAAACTTGTTAAACTTTTTTTAATAAATATATACAAATGCGTATTGACATGGACAGTCCCTTTGAATTTATATAACCATTTCAGAAATTATTTCTACGGAATGTTATGAGTTCGCTACGAGTAAGCATCGATACTTTCCTTCGACGTTTCACGGGATACGGGATGGCGGTATCGGAACAACACTATTGACGACAATGGCTGAATGACAAACCGATTAACACCCGGCTTAGTAGTACCACTTCAACAATCGTCGCACAAATTGCGGACACAAGGGGCGGAGGGGAATCAAAAAAAAAATGGTTTTGAGAAAACAAAAAAATATATGTATATTTGCATACATTTCGTTAAGCAATTGTTGGTTTTTATTTATTTATTCATATAAAAGCAATACAAAATTGTTTATTTTTTCAAAAAATACATTGTAATTACACATACAAATATGTAAAACTACTCCTAATACTTAATCAATAAAATAAGCTAAAGATCATGTTTGCATCAATTTTATTAAATAAAAAATTTCAATAGAAAAACTAAAACTAGCTAATCAGTTCTACTTGCCATCTTATATGCTACACTTTTAGAAATGCATCTACCATTTAAAGCATGAAGTTTGAATCTACAATGTATGTATGTACATATGTATAGCCAATTGTTTTTCTCAACGCCCAAAACGAAACGATAGAATCGTACCGAAAAAATCACAAATTTTTATTTGATTCTACTCCTCGACAGGAGAGGAACAGGAGGTTCCTAATTTCCTAAGAGATTCCCTTAATTTTAACAACACATTTCGACTATTATCCAAAAGAAAACTTATCCGTTTGGCAATACTTGAGATAAGCGACAGCGACTTTTTAGCACAGAATATCGTCAATATGAAATCTTTTATAGAAAAATTTAAATCTTTCACGGCATCTTCTTCCGCTATACAATTGATGAAAAGCAAGTGCTGAATAAATTGCCGCTATCGCACCCTAATTAGGCATTACAAGGAATGTGTCGTCACACTATCAAGTGCAGCCATAACTGATAATGCCGATGAATTGTTAAACTCTCTAGGTTGGCACATAATTTAAATTATTATATTAAATACATATATTTTATTGCATAGACATATTCATATACATATGTATATATATATATTCATTGAATTGCTACTAATACCTAGCGAAATAATTAAAAATTGCTTCATAGTAAATCATAAGCAAATTTGGATATTAAATACATCCATACTATCTAAAACTAGAAACTAATATGGAAGAACATTCAAGGAAGTCTAGTAAATTTTTAAAACCTACAATTTTAAAGCTTATAAAATTATGCATGCATGACGCCTTCAGCACTTTACATTTGACACAAAATGGAAACCACTTGGGTATTTAAAGTTCGAGCTACTCGAACGCAACTTACTTTGAAACACTTTCAAATTGCACACTAACTAAAATATTTTAAATCTAATTTCGTATTTAGTTATACCATTTTTATACATCATTGGCGTCCATCAATCGGTGACACCCAAGTGCACTAATTGTTGCATGCAACGTTGTAAATACGTTGGGTCTGGGAACATATTGAATTGCGTTTTGTGATCCACGCTATTCCAAATTACGACGTCTTCACGACCTGTGGTAACCGAACGGCCAATCGAGAATAAGAGACGCCTATCGAAGGCAATTTTTAGAAAGCGCAATACTTTGCGACCAAGCGGGCAGTCGGGTAGGTAACACACGCGCGGAAATCCAACAGCGAAGAAAGCTCGACCTGGATGTGGATGTTCATCGGTTTGTACGCCAGATGCGATGCTGAAAATTCATTTTATAATTACTGAAAAAAAGAACATGAAAGAGGATTGACCTACTCGTAAACAATTTGTATGGTATTCTGACCCTCATGGCCTGGCAAACTTTTGCTAATGATGCTCCATGACATAGTGCCATTTGGTTGGTTACCAACTTTTTCACCATAAACGATACCGCACACTGGACACTCAATGAAGAGATTCTGAAAAGTCAAAAAATAGGTTTCATTTCTTATAAGTTATTAAAATATAAAGTTTAGGTATTTGTAAAAGTTATTTACAAACAAGAAAGTCAGTTAATGTTTTGGGAGTGTTTATTTACCTTGCTCCTTTCACCTTGCTGTGCTATAATCATGCCATTGAGGCATTGTAAATGCATTAAATGCTGACAGCGAGTTAAGGCAATAGTTGGATTCTGTGCGCTTTGCACCAGCTCTTCCATACACATGGGACACGGTTGGGCGTTTGGCCACAAGGGCGGCTCTGCCACCTTAACGAATCGAGATATCATATCACTTGCTGGATCCACACCCACAATCGCGCCAGCAATAGCTGATTGTTGTGTTGATGATGCTAATTGTTGCTGAGATTGGTGTTGATGAGTATTGTGAAGCGTAGCTACTACTGTAACAGAACCACCAGCGGTACCTACAGAGGGCGCTAAATTTATAGAGCTCACATGATGTGGTAGTGGAGGAGGTGCTGGTGCACGCTCGCCCAGAGAAGATGGTGGCAACGATGGTACAAATACTTCATCGCTGCCCAAAGAACAATCAAGCAGATCGTTAACAGATATGGCGAAATTACGACTACGTAAACTTTCCTTGCTTTCGTGCGAGAGATATGTGGAAACTGTGTCAACACTCGGACGCCGTGTAGATTTCATGCTGTTTGTGTCTGTATCCGATGCACGTGTGCGTGAACGAGACCGGTGAGAGCCCAAACGACTGCTGCGGTGCGACTGTAAGGAACCATCCGAGCAACGGCTGTGGTGACTTTTCATTGAAGCAGTTAGTGGGGTTTTGGAATGGGAGAACTGCATGCCTAAATGATTCGAGGTTGAAGTCTGGGCCATACTGCTATTGTTATTCATATGCTGGCTGTTACTTTTTGTGCTACTTCCGAATATGTTCAAATTGTTGAGAATATGCCGCAAATTGGTGGTGGATATTTCGCTGTTTTTTTTGTGTGATTTATTGCGATGTTGAGGCTGCGCATGCGAAGAAGATGATTGCAGGTGAGGGTGGCTATGGTGGTGGTTTATTTGTTGCTGGTGGTGAGCGTGTGGAATGTGTTGACTGGATACAGTTACCATTGGAGGTAACGGTTGCGGTTGTCGACTTGCATGAGGAAAGGAAGTTGTGGACAATCCATTATTATGCAATGTCATGCGCTGCTGTAGCTGTTTAGTATCCGCCAACTGGGCTGCGGTTTTGGGTAAAGTGTTATTGCGTGTCGTAGTAAAATCTTTATAGATGTTGGCTGCAATTTTATAAAGAATAAAATTTAACGTTTTACAAAAATTATTAAATTGTACCATTTAATTGTTGTGCTTCCTGAGGGGTTAGTTTTACAAGTGGATAAGGTGCGTGCTGTGATCGACGAATGCTTCGTATTGGGCCATTCGGCTGCCGAATTTGTGTTAAATTGCAAAAATTTATGGTGTATGGCAAACAAAACCTTGTTTTACAGAGATCCAATCGTTGTTCTCCCTGGAAAAGGTAAAAAGTAATCACATCGTATTCAGATTTCATTACAAATAGAACTCAATACTTACCTTAGACCAAGCATCTTCGATTATACACTGCAATTGCATATTGAAAGGATGCCAATCTCCAGGACCAGCAGTTCCTAGTCGCTCCCATTTAGTGCCCTTACCGGGGGGAGAGCTAGGCGAATAAAACATACGTCGAACGTCAATGGTAGAAAAGCTTGAGTCTTCTTCCAACTCCTGTGTCATAGTGCGTATATTGACATAATATTGCTCGAGTTGTGGGTCGGCATCACTCAAAAGAACACGAGTCAGTTTCTTAGCATGAGCACGTTCCAAATGTTGTGAGACATCTAGGCGAAATATATAAAATTTATCTAACCCCAGACTATTCATTAAATTAATTTACCTGGACTATAGGGCAACCACTTGCTATTGATTGTCTCGTACTCCCACACGACCACTGCATGGGTGGTCCCTCCTATATTTGAACTCCCCCCACCACAACCAACGCCTATAGTGACACCACTTGTTCCACCTCCTCCACCTATACCAATGCAACCATGACCTGCCATTAGCGGAAGCTAACCGTAGAATGCCGTAATGTCCACTTTTTCTACTTCACCGCAGCATAACCACAAAATGTATGCAAAATCTTTATAATATATTGAAGAATATAATATATAGTAGCATATAGTCCAAACAATGATCACTTTTATTCATTCGGTCGTTTTGATCCCAAATTACAGAATGTCGATCACAAAATAAACATGAAAATTAAAAATGGTGGCACTACACTCAGCTGCACTCAAACATTACTAATATTCATAACGCGAAACTATTCGTATTGCCTCTAAAATATAAATTACATACTCCTTTCATTAACCACACATTTTACAAGCCAATATTGATATGCAATATTTTAAAAGCCTTTCTAACCAAAAGCAAATCAGTTCAGAAGCAATTCAATTGATCCTAATTAAAATTATGCGGATGCGGTTAAAGAGTGTGATAAGAAACCTGTACAGAGCAAAATGTCAAAGTGATCAAGTTCTGAGATCAGCGACATCTAGGAATCATTTATTATCCTTTTTGAATAAGTTGCTTTGTTTCTTTTCTTTTCTAGCAGATAATTATGAGGAAGAAGAAGAATGTCAAAAGAATGGCGCTCACAGAAATCGAAATAACGTCAAAGTAAAGAAACGCAAGACTAGCAGAAACTAGCAAGTAATCAGCAGATCGGTGTATTTGACTATTGAAAATATTTGGGGTGAATTTTTGTTTATTCATTTTGTCAGCTGCTAGTTTCTGCTAGTACAAAATTTACTAGCAGAAATTAGGAGGAGAGCTAAAAAGGGAAGAGCGTAAGAACTAGAGAGAGCTGCTAGTTTCTTCAAGTTTTTGGGTTAAAAACGCTTTTAAGCAGAAATTGGTGGTAATTTGTGATAATTATCTGTTAAGAAACAAAGCTAATTTCAAGGCGCAATGAACCGTATGAATAAAAACTAGGCAATTGCTTTTTCTTAAAATTTCATACTTTTTACCAAAGAAGGTAAATTAATAATTATATATATATATATATAGATTTACGTTCTTTGGTTGAAAGTGGACTTGTGGGCATTCACCTTTTAAACAGACAAAATGTAGTATCGGAAAATTTGTGCGGTTAAACGGGTAATGCAAGCGCTTTTTCTACGCATTTTACTGTGAAAATGCGAAACCGAAAGTCTACTTTCTCGTGTAAACAGTCAGAAAGTCCTTTTTACAGATTTCCAGCAATCACTTTCGGCAATAAAAATTGCAAGGTGTTACTGCACCCTATTAAATTGAATTTTTTTTTTTACAAAGGCACTCTGCTCATGAACGCGCCTTTGCCAAACATCCGGAAGATGTCGCTAAAAAGTGTTAAATCTGACATTTGATTGACACCGTTGCTATTTCCGCTGGCCCGATTCCTTTACCTTTTTGACAGGCAGACGTAGGAGCAGCTCTTTTTTCGGGCCGCTATTAAAATCTGCTTATTTCAATTACATCGCGTTTTAAAAACTATCCAAAATGGTGGTGAAGAAGGTAAATTGCAGTTTATACTAAGCGAACTGAATGTGTTTGTGAAATTTCGTGCAAAAGTGTTTAAAACTGATGTGTGCGCTAGTGTTTATCTCTGTATTACGGCTTAGCATAAGGTGCCTTAAAAACTCTCCTTTTACNATATATATATATATATAGATTTACGTTCTTTGGTTGAAAGTGGACTTGTGGGCATTCACCTTTTAAACAGACAAAATGTAGTATCGGAAAATTTGTGCGGTTAAACGGGTAATGCAAGCGCTTTTTCTACGCATTTTACTGTGAAAATGCGAAACCGAAAGTCTACTTTCTCGTGTAATCAGTCAGAAAGTCCTTTTTACAGATTTCCAGCAATCACTTTCGGCAATAAAAATTGCAAGGTTTTACTGCACCCTATTAAATTGAATTTTTTTTTTTACAAAGGCACTCTGCTCATGAACGCGCCTTTGCCAAACATCCGGAAGATGTCGCTAAAAAGTGTTAAATCTGACATTTGATTGACACCGTTGCTATTTCCGCTGGCCCGATTCCTTTACCTTTTTGACAGGCAGACGTAGGAGCAGCTCTTTTTTCGGGCCGCTATTAAAATCTGCTTATTTCAATTACATCGCGTTTTAAAAACTATCCAAAATGGTGGTGAAGAAGGTAAATTGCAGTTTATACTAAGCGAACTGAATGTGTTTGTGAAATTTTGTTCAAAAGTGTTTAAAACTGATGTGTGCGCTTGTGTTTATCTCTGTATTACGGCTTAGCATAAGGTGCCTTAAAAACTCTCCTTTTACAGCCAAGACCAAAGAAGAAGCCAGTTACCAAGAAGGTTGCGCCAGCCCCATTGGCCGTCAAGAAACCTGTAGTAAAGAAGGTGGTAAATCAGCTATTCGAAAAGCGTCCTAAAAACTTTGGCATCGGTGAGTTTTTGATGTATATTTAGATTGACCACTGTAAACAATTAATCCTGTCTATTGTAGGTCAGAATGTTCAACCCAAACGTGACTTGTCTCGTTTTGTTAAATGGCCAAAATACATTCGAGTTCAGCGTCAAAAGGCTGTATTGCAGAAACGCTTGAAGGTACCACCACCAATTCATCAATTTACCCAAAGTTTGGACAAAACTACAGCGGTAAAAACGTTCAAACTCTTGGAGAAGTACCGTCCTGAATCTGCGTTGGCCAAGAAGCAACGTTTGAAGAAGATTGCTGAAGCTAAGGCTAAGGGCAAGGATGTGCAGCCCAAAAAGAAGCCAACTTTCGTGCGTTCTGGCACCAACACTGTGACCAAGCTGGTCGAGCAGAAGAAGGCTCAACTGGTCGTCATTGCTCACGACGTTGACCCCTTGGAGGTAAGTTTATAAATAGATTTTAACTGGATAAAGCTCTTAATGATGTTAACTTGAATTTCTTCAACTGAAATTAATGTGCCTTGTGCACAATAATTGGCTGTGGAAGCTTGACATACTGATAATACGATATGTTCATTATCATCGATTAATATTTTTGATGTACTTAAAGTTAAACAACTTTATTATTTTTTGCAGCTGGTTCTGTTCTTACCCGCACTTTGCCGCAAAATGGGCGTACCTTACTGCATTGTTAAAGGAAAGGCACGTCTTGGTTTGTTGGTACGTCGTAAGACATGCACAGCATTAGCGCTGACAAATGTTGAAGCCAACGATAAGGCGAACTTCGCCAAGATTCTGGAAGCCATCAAGACCAACTACAATGACCGTCATGACGAAATCCGCAAACACTGGGGTGGTGGTATTCTGGGATCCAAGAGTTTGGCTCGTATTGCTAAATTGGAGCGCGCCAAGGCACGTGAATTGGCACAAAAACAGGGCTAAACAACTGAGGGTGCATCAGTTAATTGTTTTATTGTAATGGGATTTTGTCGAACAGCAGGTTGTTGATGACAAAAAGAAAATAAATAAAATAGTTTGTACTGAACTTCCATGAAGCAATTGTATTTTTAAGGAAAGTTATCAGTGAGTTTTCTTATTTGATATTATTTTCCTTAGTTTTGTTAAAAATATTTTTGGATTAACTAATTTAAAAAAACAAAATTGTAGGATATTCTATTAAGTCCATGACAAGGCAAATTTATACAAGGTGGCATGAACCAACTAACAATGAACTAATGCCTGGATTATAATGCACTTGACCGCAATGTAAACGGAAGCATCCAAAATCAATAGATCCTTATGAATTCGCCGCAATTTGTTACGATTCGCCCCAAGGCGAATTTATACCAGAGAACGTTAAATACAGAGAAGNAGATGTCGCTAAAAAGTGTTAAATCTGACATTTGATTGACACCGTTGCTATTTCCGCTGGCCCGATTCCTTTACCTTTTTGACAGGCAGACGTAGAAGCAGCTCTTTTTTCGGGCCGCTATTAAAATCTGCTTATTTCAATAACATCGCGTTTTAAAAACTATCCAAAATGGTGGTGAAGAAGGTAAATTGCAGTTTAAACTAAGCGAACTGAATGTGTTTGTGAAATTTCGTGCAAAAGTGTTTAAAACTGATATGTGCGCTANACAAGGCAAATTTATACAAGGTGGCATGAACCAACTAACAATGAACTAATACCTGGATTATAATGCACTTGACCGCAATGTAAACGGAAGCATCCAAAATCGATAGATCCTTATGAATTCGCCGCAATTTGTTACGATTCGCCCCAAGGCGAATTTATACAAGGTGGTGTTGATGGCGGATTAAATTTTCGCCGCGGTAATACTGAATGTCAAAATCAAGGCGAATTTAGATTTTCGCCGAGGAATTCGTCTTGTTTACAACAAACACATCATTTTGACATTCAGTAGTACCGCGGCGAAAATTTAATTCGCCAGCAACACCACCTTGTATAAATTCGCCTTGGCCCATACAATAGATAATTAGACTGCGGTTATACACGGAAACTTTTGTCGCCGCGATTTTTCACATTCCCTTTTGGTGTTGCTCGTTTCATTTACACACGGCGATTTGTGTGTATGCAATTGTTGTCCGCTGTGAACCGCTAACTCAATTTACACAGATGAACGAGAGCACAAAGCGTGTTGCCCGAGTACGAGCAACTCGGTGCCCCTCTCCTTTCCTCGTCACGCTCTCTCCTACAAACGTCGAGTTGCGACAACAAAAATCGCCGTGTGTAAATGAACACTTACTTCCATTATAATCCAGGCATTAATGGCGAATTTAGAATTTCGCCGCGGTACTTTCTAATGTCAAAATGATGCGTTTGTTGTAAACAAGGCGAACTGATATTACAACAAACACATCATTTTGACCAAGGCGAATTTATACAAGGTGATGTTAGTGGCGAAATTTGACTACCACAGCAACAACCACATGTATTTTGTATTGCGGGTGTTATGTCAAATCTCAATTCGCCCCAAAGTATAGATGTATTTTGTTTTTGCTTTGATGGGTGTGCTGTCAAATCAGTAAAAGCAAAAACAAAATACATGTAAGGCGAAGAAATCAGCTGATCTTACAATGCTACCTTGTATAAATTCGCCTTGATTTTGATATTAAAAAGTACANATGTATTTTGTATTGCGGGTGTTATGTCAAATCTCAATTCGCCCCAAAGTATAGATGTATTTTGTTTTTGCTTTGATGGGTGTGCTGTCAAATCAGTAAAAGCAAAAACAAAATACATGTAAGGCGAAGAAATCAGCTGATCTTACAATGCTACCTTGTATAAATTCGCCTTGATTTTGATATTAAAAAGTACAGCGGCGAAAATCTAAATTCGCCAGTAACACCACCTTGCATAAATTCGCCTTGGTAACACCATTTTAAAAAATTCGCCTTGGCAGTAACCGATTACAGTATTAAATTGTGCCATATTTATTTCGATAACATACGTTTTTTTCATTGAAAAAACCGATTCTCTGTAACCGGTATTTGCACCTGCACGTATTTCGGATCCAATGCAACTCTGTATTAGGCCCTGTCTCCACAGGAAAACACTGATGTCGTGAAAACTATGTCACAAAATATATTTCCAATGGAGACCGCCTATTTCTCATGTGCTGCAATATATGTCAGCGCTTATTGCTTGACATCTATTGCAGGCAATTCGATAGTTTGACAGCCATATTTTCATTTGAAAGAAAGCGTGCTGGTGGTAACATCGATGAAATTTTTATATTTAATCAAAATAAAAGTCTGTTCCTTATTGGATTATTTATGATTACGTTTTAGGAAATTATTCAGCAAGTTTTTTAAAGATTTAAATGTTTTTAAACACCGAAATTGAGAGAATGTTGTCTGGTGGCGTCATGCGGCAAATGCTTATTTCAAGACATCAAAGTGCCCACACACAAAAACTTGCAATCACATTGCTCGTCAAAATGACAGTTGGTAGGCCATCGGTGTTTGCCTGTGGAGTTCTGCGGTTATAAAACAACAAAATAAAAGTTGCGGAAGCGAATGCATCCAGTTGCGTATTTTACGGGAGTGTCTTGCTTTTCATTTTATTGTTATTTGGTTTATAATCGATCATTGGAAATAATAAAATTTCAAATATAATTTGAAAAATTATTAAAATAAGTGAAACAGTACACGAAAATGTGCATAAAACGTGAAAAATTAGTTTGTGATTCGCTAAATTAATGTGAAAAAGGTGCACAAGAAAAGTCGGCGAAAAGAAACGCAAAGCAAAGGCAGCGTTCGTTCATTCGGTGGCTGAAACCGTTCATCGTGGTTGGCAATTTGCATCTCGATAAAGTCGTTCTTCTGGCTCAATTTTTTCTATGTACAACCAGACAAGACAAAAATAATGTGTAGAAACATATGAGTTCTATAATAATTAGCTCACCAAATAAAAGCAAAAAGGGTTCAGTAGGGAGTTAATGTGACGTAGAAAAATCCGTACCTTGCAAAGTGCTTATTACCAGGTAAATACATATGTACATACATATTTATAGGGAAATCGAATTTTGGTCGGTCTACATACGGATGCTAATACTTCTCCGTGCATACATTTTGTATATTTTATTGCAGTACCTTAAAAATGAAATTGTTTTTATTTTGACAATTGGCTGTTTCGTTTATATACAGTTTCACTTGTGCAATGCGGGGGCGGCAGTACCAAGAGTGTGAGTACATTGGTATATCTGTGTGGTAAGGTCTTTCCGCCAGCACAGGGTTGATGGGATGTTGCACTGCCACCATAGTGGACAACGGGCGTTGCACAGCATCAGTGACGTTCCGTCTACCATTTTTTACAACGCATAATTGTTGGACAATGAGTGGGCGTCACATATGATTGAAGTGGAAAAGTGAAAACAGGATTGTTGCTGCAATTTTCGAGGCCTTGGACCAAGAGCCGTTCGGATACCTACTTGTTTTAGATGCTTGCATTCATGCATACACACGATTAAATGCATATACCGTCTTAACCATAATAGCGTTTACCATTTACTATATTATGAAATGTATGTACATATGTATACTTACATACTACATAATATGAATGTATATAAGTATGTACATTTGTGGGTTTATAACAAAAATACATAAGTAACGTTATTGTCGATAGTTGCATGATGCATAGAGTGACGAGCAAGAGATGCAGGGCCAAAAGTGACCAGTGACATTGTAAATGTAAAAACGAAAGTTACGCGCGAGTGATCTCGTATACATATGTACATAAATAGTGTATACAACATAAAACCACTAAAAAGTTAATAACAATAAAATAACAGCAGAAAAATAACAAGACTATCAAGCGATTGGCAAAATGAGTGTGTTTAATGACTTCCAACGTCTGTGGATGCAACGTTTTCCACAAAGCTCTCTTTCTGATGCGTGGGAGCAAGATGTTCGTGCCAGTTTGGAGCGACATAAGCAGAAAATTATTGAACTGACAAAGGAATTAGAACAAGAGCAACTTTATGTCGAATACCTAGAGCGACTACTGTCCGATGTGGAAAAATTTCGCGAATCTGGTGGGGATCCAACATCTCTGTTTGAAGCGGCAACTACTTCAACCTCAGCATTACAAGGCGACTCTGATGATGGAAAAGATACCAGTGCTGATATTATGCTGGTAAGCTTATAAACAGGCATATTTCACCTCCTTTTTCTAAATTAAATTACATGTTTATTTTTATGTAGTAAAGTTTATAGTATTCAAGTTAGACATATGTAAGTAAGGAAGGTACAGAGCATTGACGACTTGCAACTCTTGTTAGCCTATCGCGATCAACGAGCTATATGTAGTGTAGTACATAAATAAGGTACTACATCCCAGCGAACATTGAGGTTAGTTATCGATTAGAGAATAATTGGGGAACTAGCCACATTCTCCAATCTCAAACATTAGAGAACGATTCGAAAAACTATCGAGAATCATAGCGATCTCAACAAAAATGGAACATAGTTCTTTGCTTTATTAAATAAAACGTTTCTTTTGTAAAATTTGTATTAAATGTATTTGCAATAAAATAACAATGAATTATTTGAACTTAGAAATTATTAGAATTATTTATTTTTTATAATTTTCATTCGTTCGATAGTTCGAGCATGCCTTACCATATTGAAACCACCTTAATCAAAGCTTACGCAAAGTTCACAAAATTAAACAACAGTTTACAGAAAATTTCAAGTACATATGTAGATATGCAGTGCATTAAATAAAGTGCAAGTTTCATCGCTAAAAATTATCGTTGAATTTTGTTTATGCATTACATATGTATGTATATGGAATAAGGAACACAAATGGCAATTTTTAGCGACTTGAAACTTGCAATTTATTATACAAAAATTGAATGGGCTTCAAAACAGCATCCCCGAAATTTTTCAATATAGAACTTATATAGACTTTATAAAAACCAATCATCAATTTCATTTATTTATTATTATTTAAAAAACCAACAACTTTTTAGTGAGTAATCTACCGAACTTAGTACAGAGCTGAATTGCGAAAGAAAATGAGCTAGGGCCTAGTGGACTACTCATATGTACATACAGTTGTCCCCAAAATAATATGAGTGCAATAAATAAATAAATATTTTAACCAGTTTTGGCTATTTGTCTTTTGTTTATTTAATGTTTATTATTTTTTTATAAGAGTCCAAATATTACAAATATTCTGCAAATTTTCACTAAAACTTTAAACTTTTTTTCAGAATCTTTAGAAAAAGTCTTGAATTCCAGTATTGAAGTTCATTTAATTCTAGTATAATGAATTGCAGATTTCAAGTTCCTAACAAATTTCAAATTAAACGGTCAGTTTTACTTTTCGAACGTTAAAGTTAAACGGATATGATAATATTTTATGAACTTCTAGATTTTGAATTCAGATGAATTGAGCTATTGGCGACTTGAAATACATACATATGTACTATATACATAGGTACATATGTACATATATAAGTGAGACTTAAAATATGTACATACATACATACATACACATTTCCCCCTGTTGAGGGAAGAACAGCTGGGCAAGCAGCAAAAGTCTGTAAGTGGCTCGTTCTGCAAAAAATCTTCTTATCAGGGCAGTGTACTTGGTTTGGTTTTTGTACTCGTAGTCTTCATAGCAATGAAACAGAAATTACTCAGACCGACAGAAACAAATGTAACCAACCCACAAACTCTAAAAATGCAGCATTCTTTAGTTTTTTATGAAGGAGAAAAGTGTGTGTGATGTAGTGTGTGGAAAGCAATAAAAACAATTGCATAGAAAACATAGCAATAACAAATGCAGTAATGGCGTTTTCTTTTCTACGAAGAGTTGTACCTTTCATTGCCCTCTCCTAAGTATTTGTGCATAGGTGGCACTGAGAAGGCAACATTTTTCGGTAGAAAAAAACGGCAAAAGATTTGCGCAAAAAGGCAAATGAAAATGGCAAAAGAAGTTTGTTGTTATCTTATCACAGTAGATGCGTAAACAGCAATACACATATACATATACATATACCACATATACATATACATATATGTACACTCAATACCCTACTAGCGCCAGAAATCGGCCACCCGACGCTGCCCACAATGATTGTCCCGACGCAAAAGTTGATGGTGGTAGTAGCGCAATAGCCAGCAAAGTAGGCGAAAGGCTGACGCGGAGCGCAATAACTTCTGCGAAACAAAGAACTTTTCCTAAAGAACACCAGTTCACACCGTGTAGCAATTCCTTTTGGTGTTATCTATGTAACTACTGGCACAGGCGTTTGCGTTTCCTATTATTAAATAAAAGGCAGTGGTGAATTTTCGTAAGAAAATTGTGTGCTCGCTCCACCGTGCTCAGCGCCCGCATTCAACGTATCTATGTAATTGGAAAACTTTAGTGTAGGTTTAGAGCGGTGCATTTGCAATTCGTGTCAGTCCGACGACGAGGAAAAACAAATATAAAAACACGAATTCGATATAAAAACAACGTGACGTAGTAAGAAGTGAGAGAAGTCCAGAAATTACGTAAAAGCGCGTATTGCAACGACAACAGTGACTTTTGGCTCAGCAGTTTCATGTGTTGCGGGGCGGCGGCGAGGTGTGCTGAGCAATAAAACTTGCATTTGTGCTGGGCGTATTTTACGTGTGGGTGAATTGTAGTGCGGTGCGCCGAGTGAAGTGCCAAGACAACTCCCTAATATCGCCAAAAACAACAAAAAAAAAGCTGCCTAAAAACATTAACAAAAGTAAAAATAGAAATATCACAAAAACAACGGCGAGCTTTAAGGCGAAAATAAACGTGTATTTAACTTTTCAGCTGCGGCAATGTCATCCTTCAAGGAAAAGTTTCGACTGTGGACGAGAGGGGTAAACTTTAAATCGATTCTTTCAAGGAGCAATAGGAAAGCAAAATAATTATGTACTGCTTTTGTTATTTGCCAAGTAGGATGATAAATTAAGAGAAAAAATTTGTATTATCGTACGTTCCGATAGCTTGCTCAGTTCCTAAGTTAGTAAAGAGTTGTGATTCGTTATCTGCATATTGTACAGAAACGTACATACATATGTACATACAAACGTGGTATTTAAGTGCATATGTACATATATGTACATATATTTGTATATATTTATGTATATGTGCTGATATATTTTTCTTGTATTTGTGCAATGTTCATGGCGATTTCATCGTCTATGCGGTTATTTAGCCGCCACAATTAAACAATCACCCGTTCGAAAACACGCTGAGTGAATCACAATAACGTTTCCCATTAAATAAAACGTCAAACCATTCTAAACTCGGTCATTTACTGACTACACTTTTCTCTTATGTGTTGAGATTTATGTTATTGCCAAACTCTTGACTTTGAGCTGTGTCTCTTGACTAAGTAAGTTCAATATTACAATTTTACCGAAATCGATTAATCGGTACAATCAAAGCTCAAACTTCTTGAATATTTGAATTTTTCTTTTCATAACGGCAATGTGATACATTAGACTGGGCATATTTTGTGGGAGAAAATGAAGGCTATTTGCCGGAGCTGCAAACTATCGACATTCAGTCCATCGATAGTATTCGATATTATTTTTAAAGCTATCGATATATCGACGATAGTATCGTATAAGGTTTTCGCCCAATTTTGATATTAAGATGTATTTAGAAATACATTCTTAAATTACGTTTGGATACGTTTGAAACACGTGCATACGTTTCTTTTTAATGTTTAACAGTTAAGTTAGAAGTAAAGTTATTGAAAATTTGATATTGAAAAACACAAAAACCTTTGGCTTTTCTGGAATTTAATTTTGTTTGCAGTTTTACAGACATCCTCCTGTCATAAGGCATTCAGAGATTAATGTGAAGTTTTTGAACAAAAATCCCATGTTTTTATCTAAAAAGTAGTGGTTTTTATTTAGCTAGTATCAAATAATGATGAACAACATTTAAAGCGTTTGTGCGAGTTAATTTGTGTCACTTTTTTACTAGAGTAAGTGTCTTTTAAAAGGTGCAAGTTTTTCGTCCTTTTCGAAGATTTTCATTATTTTTTTAGTACCTCTATAAAAGCAGTAAACAAAATATTAGTTCAACTTGTATGTATAAGAGAAATCAATGAAAACGAGAAATAGTGTTTAATTAAATACTGAATGACATGTCTGTCGGACTATCGATAGTGCCCAAAAAGCATCGATAGTGGCGAAAAATGAAAAACATCGATAACATCGATAGTGTCATCGATAGTTTTGCAGCTCTACTATTTGCTTATACATACATATTGTAATAGTGATCTTTAGCTGGTGCTATTGTTAAGTGTCGGACGATTTTTAAATTTAAAAATTTAATATTTAAGTAAAATATAAACACATATTATATTGTATTTAAAAAACAGTGCAGTCCTCCCCAATTTCGGCAGTTTCTAAGATCTCGCTGAAATGCGGCTTTTCCGAAATTAGATATAGTTTGATATGTAGTAGCTTCGAATACTAAAATGCACCAAATAAAAGTAGGGTGAGCCATGCTTATTTTAAATATACATACTTATTACATTCTTTGATACATCGTAGAAACTGTAGCAGAAAGAATTGCAATTAGCTACCGAAGTAGCACATTTTTCCAAGTTTTTTATTTTTAGGTTATTTATACAATTTAAAAAAAAGTTAAAAAACAGAAAAACTTCTATATTTTTTGCCATACATACATACATATGTAAATATTCCTTTAACTACTATATTTTCATGCGAATTCAACGACTCTCATTCGTTTGCATAAGCAAAATTTTCTCATCTTCATGGAAAATATAATAATAGCACAGGGCAACACTGATTTTTGTGCGGCAAATGTAAAATCGGTTTTTGATAGACTTTTTTGTGTTGATTGCGAATCTGTAAGTATAAAGTTTCCTTCAGCTCCAGATTTTGAGAAAAACTCTTTTTTTTTGTAATATTTCAGAAGCTCTAGCAATAAAACAAAAGCTGATACAACCTTCAACTTAGGCTTAAATTAAAGCAAAAACTCTTGGCTACTATCCCTGAAAATACCATCCCTGCACCTTGATGCGATGGTCACTTATAGCCATTTATTGAACAATAACATAAATACTGGAGTATTGTGCTATTGAAAGAAAACAAAAAAAATTGTGCCAAAATCAATTTTTGCTGTTCATTAAGTCATTAAGTTCATTTTC